CCATGCCCTTGTCCAAACAGCCCAGGCAGTGGGGCTTGCACCTGTTTCATCTCGGACACCATCGAGAGTGTTAAGCATAGTCTGGTACGTAGGAAGAGCTTCCTCCGTAATCATGTCTCCAACCAAACAAACAAAATAATCATCAGGAATTTCCTTGGCACGTTCTCTAAGTTCTTTGACTTCATCATGAAACCCATCTGAGGCTGGATCAGGAAGAAAATCCTGTGGTTGCCAACATTTCTCGACAGGCTTAAGGTGGGACAAAATATTATCTCTGGCCCAATCATCAAGAGACTTGAATATTTCAATCTTCTGGGGTGGCATGGAATGTGTAACCTGGACGTGCACCTCTCGTGGAGGAGCAAATGGCTTCTTGTTCTCAACCCTGATACAAAAATTAAACAAACTTTCAGCAACTACCAGACACATGATGAATATACCTCTAGCTTTAGGCATTTGCCAGGCTGGCCAAAGACTAGGCCGGCCAAATTTCATTAATTTAGGGAGTATTTACAAATTTACAAGGTTAAACTTTGACAAGAGGGACACTGATGGGACACTGTTAAAAGCAACACCCTCCCAAAGAAAAGAAAAGAAACAGATTACACCTGAGTTGTAAAATATATGTATAGGTATGCTTAGAATGGTGACCTGTACGGTTTCCATTCAGCTTTGTCAAGATAAAGAAGACTAATCGTACTAGTTTGATGGTCATCCTAATATTTTTTTCCCTTAAGGTTAAAATTAAATCAGTTATGGTTGGACTGTTCTTTTGACAAAACGGTAGATTATGCACAACAACTGAAGTGTGCAATAAGCTTTAGCTTCTTGGCCTCTCTAGAGTTCATCAGGTAGACAAAGCGAAAATGCAGTTAGGTTAGTACTACTAGCTAATATCATTGACCTTGTCCACACTACAGTCACATGCCATGCTCTATAAATTATGGTGCGAGGATCTCCCCATACTGAACGTATTAATGCATAGGCTAAAGAAATCCTGATATACAGCAAGGATGTCTTTCCTGCGCGTTTTAGCCTGGAAGCCCTGCATATCACTGTAGCTGGGCATGGGCAGCATCTCTGGGGGGAACACAATTTTTGCTGCAGCAGGGTGTGCAGAAATAGAAATAAGATCAGCCAGGTGGAACTAATTGGACCAAGCAGTCAAATCTGCCATCTTGCATTCATGCCAGTTTAACTACTGGAAGTAACTAGAAAAATTTAACTTTGGGTAAGGTTTAAGCAGTAACTATGATATCCACCCTCTCAGAAAAACAATCTGATTTCCAGGGTATCAGTTTGTAAATATCAGAAAATGGAACAATACTAAATAAATACTCCGAGCAAATACATTTTTATAGAGAAATGGAGCAAATAATCCGATCAAGAAACCCAGGACAGGGGTGGAGTATGGAGGTGATTCCATTTCAGTGCCATGCCTAGGATAGGACACAACCAACCTCCTTCCAATGCCATACTGTATTAAATGACTCTAGAACCCGTCAACTAAACAGGTCAGCGACACTGAGCTGCCATAAAGCATCTCTACCTAGGAGTCCAGTGGTACTAACAAGCGAAGAACAAATCAAATTAAATTCCATGACACTGCGAGCAACATCACCATGCTGTGGACCACGGGCCACCAAATCGGGCTGACAACGATAGGAACGCCTTGGAGTCCCCATGGAAGCCCCCCTAAAGAGGTTCTTCAAATCGATACTGTTGTGTACCACCGATTTTCCTTGTGCAGTACAGCGATATATTAATGGAGAGTATGGTTCCAGAGTACAAGCTTGAAGGTATGAAGGTCCCAGCAAATTTAATGCCGGTGAAATGCGGCGTCAAAAATGAATGTGAAAGGGACTAACTCGAGCTAGTAGCTTCACTTTGCTTGCAACGGAGAAGCCGTGGTGGAGCAGGTCGCCAGTTCATACAGTGAAACCGACCTACTGTATGCTGCACGAATGATTGAACGGCGAAGCTGCAAATCTTTGCAGCCTGATCTGAGGCAGCGGCGAGATGCAGCGGCCATGCGCGTAGGGAGAGCGCGCGACACGGACGAGGATGAATCTCACGATTCCTGGCACCGGTGCCAAAGCCGGCGACGAGGAACGGAGACGGCGCAGAATTTGAGACAAAACCCAGACGAGGCAAGCAAAACGAAGAGAAGAAAAACCGAATCCTGGGTAAGAGAGACACGCATTCATGCCGCAACGTCGACGAACCCCGAATCGCCGCGCCAATCCGGGGACAGGTGCACCGGAAATCCCTACGCAGCGGCGGCGAGGCGTCGCCCAGAGCAAACCGATGCATCGAACCCAACCCAACACACGGGGAACCAATCCCGAACGCGACGAGGTCGATAGAGAGGGATTAGAGGAGAGTGGCGAGCGGAGCGGGGGCGAGCTTACTTGGTGGAGACGGCCCCGGACGCGACGGCGTAGACCCTGACACCGCCGGCGGCGGCGCGGCGGTTGCGCCGCGCGGCGGCGGCGAGGGGCGGGGTGAGGCGGAGCGTGACGTCGTTGGGCCGGAGCGCCATCCTCGACGCCATCGATGAGGCCCCCGCCGCCGAGAGTGGAGGAGGTGGCGGTGCGAGATGGCGATGCGGGTGGCGAGGCGAGGCGCGGAGAGAGGGGATGGGGGTGTGTTTGGCTCGCGCGATCTCCACCTCAGGTTTGGGAGTGCGAGGAGGTGGGGGTGAGAAATCACCAGAGCCACGACTGCACTCTGCTGGATGCCACTCGGCTTTTGCCTTTGCGGGCCCCCCCCCCCCCCCCCCCCCCCCCTGATTTATGTCGCCATCTCATCTCTCTCTCTCCCCCGTATACTACCATCGAGGGTGAAAAACCGGTCGGGAGCATCTTTTTAGAAATAAGATAATTAATATATTTATCATTTAGTCCCTTCAGATTTATTTTAATTGATGTTTTGGATAATGATATGGTCTAAAAATACACCTTTAAAAATACACCTTTGGCCTTAATTTTTCTATTATAATATATATAATAAATAAATACATATTTACTTTTATTATAGTGTTTTGAAAGATAAATCTATGTATTCCATCCATACTAATAAAGGAAGTTGTTTAGGACAACGTTTAAGTCAAAACTTGGGAATATAAATCATAAATAACTCTCAAGTTATTGAATTTAAAAAGGTAAAAATTATACGAAAAGATTTGTCTTAAAAAATACTTCCATAAAAGTATACATATATCACTTTTAAATAAATATTTTTATAAAACAAGAAGTCAAAGTTGTGTTTTGGAGACCGTGTAGCTATTCTAAACGACTTCCTTTATGAGTACTGAAGTAGTATGTTGTTATGTATGTTGTTCTAGTTTCTTTAAACTAAATATATTTAAAGTTATTGGTGGTTAAAGTTATAAAAGTTTGACTTCAACCTTATCCAAAACGTCAATTGTTATAGAACCGGAGGGAGTAAACTACTCAATAACGATATTAATATGATAAAAAATTTAAATTCAGAATTTAATGGTAGGCAAAAGGGTACGGTCGAAAATGGTATTATTTATATGGAAACAATGTTAGGTCGATCAGGAATTTTCACGACCGTTTTCACCCTTACAGTACTCTCTGCTTTATTTTCTTTGATTTTACATCCGGATTTTTTTCCATTTTTATCTGTAATTAGAGACTAGGTCCGGACTAAAGCTAAGCCGAATTGTTCTTTGCTTATGAAGCAGCGTGTCTAAATCGCCTTTTTATTTTAGTAGATCACAGGGATCTTTTCGTGTTTTTGTAAAAGACTAAAAGGTGATTTTGTTCGAATCGTGTGTCATGTGAAGGATTATTTGTGTGAGCCCCCGATCTTTCCCGAGCCAACCCCACGCCACGCCACACCGCGTACTACGTGCGTGCCACCCGGCCGCTACGTCCTCCTCCTCTAGCTGCTCGATCGGCGTACGTGGCGCCAAGATTGCGTGCGTTTTCCTCGTCCCACCTCGCGCGCGCGCGACGTCGGCAGCGGAGCGCGCGCGGTGCACCGCACCGAGCAAGCGGCAGTGCACGACGAATTCGAAGCGGCGCCGCCACGCGGTGTGCATATGCTTTCCGAGAGATGCGATGCGAGGCGCGGTCGATGATACCGAGGCCGGCGGCAGCGGAGATGCTCCTGGAGTGACGGACGGAGGCATCAGAAACAAGGCCGAGACCGAGTTTTTTTTTTTTAAAAAAAATGGTCAAGTGACTATGGTCCTCCCTGGCGCGATTCTGCGAGAATGATTCGATTGTTGGCGTCAGAATTCAGCCCAGCGTGCCAGGTGCAGGTGCAGTGCATGTAGGACACGCTGCTCCGGCAGCCTAGTGTACGTACTCCTACGCGTGGGTTGTTTGTCTCTTGTCGGTTCGGTCTCTCTCTCTCTCTCTCTACACGCGTGTCAATGCGCGGGGTGGCGTGCCATATGCCACCGCGGCACCGCTCTGCCCGGACGCGAACCATCGGCAAATTTTGGATTCGCAGGTGGATGAGGGAGGCCCGCCTCCGCGAGTAGCTTTCACGTGTACTCGGCCCAACATGAACGCAGGGTGGTCGGAGGCCCAATGGATTCCACCAAATTCACTCAGCGCCGCCCACCACGGCATCGCCTTGTCGAGCTCTCGCCATGGCCCACCACGGCTGTTTACACCGATCTCGGCCCTCGCCATGGCCCATGGCTGGATCGAGTTCGTGGGCTTGGCAATATGACACCATCATCAATTGCTTGTTATATTAAAATTATTTTTTCAAACTTGTTTAAGAGTATTTTATCGTAGTTTATTTTTATCATTAAATTTTAGACCATAACAACACATAAATTATTTTATGTTGCTTTGTTTATTGTTCGACGGCGCGATAGGGCTTTCTGAAATTGGCAACTTCAGAACAAACTAGTTAGTGGTAAGACGTCAGACTTGAGACTAATTAGGTTTCTGATGATGAAAGCTATACTATGCCTATCAACAAGTTATACCCTTCAGAACGAAAAGAACAGGTTGACAAGAAATGGCAGCTGCTGGGTTAATTACCCCATCTCTGATCCCATTGGGCCATTGGTAAGGGAGCACAGAGAAACGATACATTATACATATACGAATGAGTAGACTATCATTCCACCGTACCAAAGCACAAGCCTGAGTCTGCCATAGTAGCACCGATCCACAAGGAATTCACAATATACCCTTCAGTTTCAGTCTCATGCGGACAAAAAACTCCCCAACTCTCGAAAGACAAAAAAGAACCAACCAGGCGCAGTGTACAGTTCACGGCACGCACTAGGGCCAACCAAGGAACCACCAACGGAGCAAACGGTACGGATCAAGCATCCAGAGATTCAAGATGCTGCCGGATAAACGCTCTTGGTGACCGCGTTGAAGATGTCGGTGTACCCCACGACGCCGACGAGCACGCCATCCTCCTCCGACTCCGCGTCCGTCACCCACACATGCGTGGCACGGTGGGACAGCATCTGCGCCATGACCGCTGCGAGTGAGCTCGTGCTCTTGCACATCAGCGGCGCGCTCCTCCCGCGGTACATGCTCCTCATTCGACCGAACGCCATCTGGTGCGCCTGGCTGTTCAGGAACCCGATGCTCCTGCTGCTGAACTTCTTTGCCCTGGGTGAGCGCCCAGGTCCGATCTCTTCCACTAGTGATGAGCTGATGGGAGGCACTGGGATGGCTGAGATCGGTGTTGATTCGTTATCGTCGGCACCAATGACAAACTGCCCCGCCGATAGGTTTATCAGTGCCCATGCAGCCGCAACATAGTCACATTTCCACAGCTTGTAGGCAGAGATATCTCCTAATATCTTGCGAGTTCCATCTGGTGTAGTCTCGACTACAGCTACGGCACTTGGATCTGGAGGGACCTTCTGAATTGCTTCCATGGCTGGGACAGATGCATCAACATGACAGTAATGTGGATTGATGGCTCCAAGGGAAGAGATTGGAGACAGTGGAATGGGCGCAAGGGCACCGAGGCATCCAATAAGGAACCGGAGAATGTCTTCCCTTGAGAGGCAGCAGAACTTGTAGGTGGAACTGGTAGAGGAGGAAAGCTCTCTACTGCTGCTAGCTGAGGTTGGAGATGTTGCTTCCATATTCTTCAGCCACTTCCCGTTGTAAAGCACTGAAAACCTCTTGGAGATGCCTCTCCAGGCGCCATTTTTTCGAACAAGGAAGCGCTTCACTCCTTGCTTCATCAAATCAAGTGCGTCGATCAACCTTGAAGAAAAAACAATAACACTCATTTAGTAACAGGGTAAAGACCTAGCAGTGCATTTGGAAAAGATGAACTACCTACAAAGCGCAAAGGCATATAGTCCAAAGATGCTGTTACAATAAGTAAGACATTAGATTCTTTTTTTTATTAGGGTATATATTCTTTTTTCTGAAGCACATAAAACAATTCCACAAATGCAGAAATAATTGGCATGCAATCATTTGCAAATCTAACCATATTAGTCTTTCCATATTATATTGAGCCATGATTGGTCTGCTCTGCATGTGTTTGTGTGGGTTGGGTTCATGTAAATTATTGTCTTCACACATGATCCATTAATAGCATGAAGTACAGCTTCAACATAGATTTTCACCTTCCTGATTATGGCATTACATTACCACGAAATAGAACCTCATCCCCACTTTGTTCCCTTATCATAACACAACCAGAAGGGCAAGCCGCTTGAAATCTGATAGCTTGTTTAAGTCTGGGTCATCATCATTTTACAACATGATACTAAAAGGAGAAGACTGCTCAGCTCACCGCCAATATGCATCAGGATACCAACAACCAAGTACTATCCTCTCGAGGTGTTACTACTGAAACATATTCAGTTATACTCTTTCTGCACTTCTGCTAGTGGAATGCACTTTTGGAGTTCAATTTTCCTAACAATATTACTTAACGAAAATGCAGATAGAGGATGACATCAAGAAAACAGATCCAAAGAATTTTAATTTTCAGGTGATAACTCAGCAATTCAACATCAGAAGACAAATGATGCAGGCCAGCTAACTATATTCTTGTGTATATAAACAAACAAAGGGGGAAAAGACCTAATGATGGTATGAACAACGGAACATAACAAACCAGAGTTCTCAGTGCGGCGGTGCGGGGGTCTTAAAATCCAAGTTATGTGATGTCAACTAAACAAATCAAGAAGTAGGATATGTGCAATAGAAATATCTAGAGATAGTTCACGTCGAAACTATTTAAGACATTGATCTCCCAGATCTGTAAAGTTCAACAAAAGATTCTTCAGGAAATAGAGTGCAAATGAAAGCCCCTTCTTAAAGAAAAGAGGATCAAAGTTATCCCTCCGTTCACATTTTCTTTAAAATATACATGTTGTAAGATTTACTATAAGAGCTCAATGTCACATTAGATGGGACTGAGACTTTTAAAGTAGACTGAATGATTCCAGTCATACTCCTGGACAGGCTTGAGAGGAACCATGAAGAAGCATAAATGCCAATAACCTAACACATCTGTACTATTGAATATTGATAGTGACTATTACCTACAATGTTGCAGTAAATACGATAACTAAGATGCAATTTTACCCTATCAAGCATGGCACTGCTTTGGCTAATGAAAAAATGATGCATACTCCTGAATAATATAGGCTGTCTACAGGAAATATAACAAATCAAAGTCCATTTAGCTGCATCATTCCATAGGAAGTTTCATCTAGATATTAATTTTTTTTTGCATGCCTACGTCTTTTTCTAGCATCTTTTAGTTATACGTAACAGTGAATCAATTCTACAGTGCCATCAAATTACAAACTGAAGAAAGTTGGAAAAACAGTTATATGCATTCCTTTAAAATTACTTTAATCCTAAGTGTACAGAAACCAAATAAAAGGAATAGAATTTGCATACTTGAGCATATGTTTTAACTTAAATATACACTTGATCTTGATCCACTATTAAATTCCGTCCAGAAATCAATCAGACCAATTATGTATCGTGGCCTAGCATGATAAGATGCAAAGGACTACCTGGCATTCATTATGCTTCCATCTGAAAGATCTTGCGTGTTAAATCAATGAATATGTTTGTCTTAATACATTAACCCTTTTTCAAACAAGGTCCCGTGCAACTTCAGGAACACAATCGATATTTGCAATCAGCAAAAGCATCACATCCAAGATTAAATAAACAACAAACCCATGTGATCAATTAAAAATTCTAGTGGACCTAGTGATAGCTTTCGACCTGCTTATACAATCAAACGTCAAACTACAAAGCTACGTAGAAGACAAAATCACCAACTAGATCACATTAAACAAAAGGGCTGATGTAGCATCTGCGTTTTAAGTAGTGACGGATCCAAGCTAACACGAACAACAGTGCATAAATATAAATTATATAGAGTTATCAATTTACCGCTGCATACGACATGAATCGCTTTAGGATGCCTACAAAGCGCGTCGAAAGTACATGTTGGACATGATTTAGCACCCAAAACGCGGAAAAGGTTCTATTTCGCTCATGGATCAATTGAAACAAACGCTATACCTACTGATCAATCCAACACCGCCGCATCACAATTGGTTATAGTTATGATAAAATAGCCCCCAAACCTCAGTGGGCAGATCAATCGAAACAAGCACAGCTGTGACCATACTACAGACGCGGGGAGATTGGTAGTCATCATGAAACGAAGGGCGGAGGGCGGAGACCTCACCTCGTGCCTGGATCGACCTCCCGGAGCAGGCCAGGGTTGGGCTGCACGACCTCCCCGACCACGGCGGCCATGGCCCGGTCACCGACGCCGGAAGCGGCCACGAACGTGGCGATGTCGAGCGCGGAGATCATCCCGAGGAACCTGGCGCCCGACGGCGGCTCGTCGGGCGCCGCCCGGGGCCGCCACACGGGCACGGCGCCCTCGGGGCTGGCCGCGATGGCCCGCGCGGCGGCGTCGAGCGTGTCGGTGTCGTGCAGCTCCACGACCTCGGGCTTCCCGACGGTGAGGTCGCCGACAACATGGTGGAAGAACACGGCGGCCATGGGCGCGCGGCGGCCGGTGGCGGTGGGCTATAAGAGGGAGTGGAGGAGGAGGAGGTGGAGGAGGAGCCTAGAGGGGCCGAGGCCGAGGCCACCCCCAACTCCAAGCGCAACCGCGGCGGCGGAAGGGGAGGGGGAGAAGGAGAAGGAGGAGGAGGAGAGGTCACCGGGGGCGGCGCGGGTGTGGGGATCGCCGGCCATGTCGGTGGGAGGGAAAGCCCATTAAAGGCGGGGGCGTCGTCGCCTGAGCTCGGCTGTGTCTGGTCGGAGGGGGGGAGGGGGGGGGGGGGATCAGCGAGCGATTGGAGCAGAGGTGAGAGAGAGATGCGAGGTTGGCGTGGGTGGTGGCGACGACGATGTGGATGGAGGCGACGAAGAACCCGGAGAGAACGGAGAGGAGAAATAGGAAAAGGTGGAAGTGGGCCTCGCTTTGTGATTCGGGCAAGGTGGTGCTGGTGCGTTATTGGAGTGACCCTGACCCTTATTTTCCTTTTTATTATTATTATTATTTTTCTCTATTCTTCTCAATAAAAGCTCATCACATTTATATTAATATAAAAGCTCGTCACATTTACTTCAATAGTATTTTTTAACACAGTACAATGGCATGTGCTCAGTTCACGTCAAAATTAAAAGTCTGGTTGAAATTAAAATGATGTGACGGAAAAATTTAAAGTTTATGTGTGTAGAAAAGTTTTGATGTGATGGAAAAGTTGGAAGTTTGAAGAAAAAGTTTAGAACTAAACAAGGCCTATGGCCTTATAAGTACAACATACACACCCTAACTCTATAAATAACTAGCGCATCATAAAATCGGAAAGTTACCACAAGTATCTTGCGCATCTATCACTGGAATAATGAGAAATATGGGTAAATGGATTAATAGACAAAATATATATGTGGAATTTTAAATATTGTTTTAAGTTTTTTTAAAAAATTTTATAGCAGTTAATTCGTTTGTTTCGTTGGTACTTTCGAATAATTATCACAAGACATTCATTTATTCCAATATTCAAACAAAAAAATATGTCTTTAAGAAAATATAAATAATTTTCATGGAATATATTCACCCAAAACATACATTCACAATCTTCATAAAGAAACAATTGAACAATCTTTGTTGAGTTATTACACATTCTAAAGGGAGATATTCTTCCAAGTAAGTTATATGTAGGGATGCAAACATGACGGGCAAGCGGGATGTTTTTAGCCCGCTTATGTCACTTCTAGTTTATTTTTTCTTCTAAATTTTGTACTACCATGTGGGAAATGAACTAGCAAGTGGGTTTTTATTTGGGTAGCGGGGCTGCCTATTTACATCCCTAATTATAGACCAATTATTTTGTTTATACTTACACTTATCCATAGTACTCCCTCCATCCTTAAAAAAAGGCAAACCCTGGGTTTCCGTGTCCAATTTTGACTGTGCGTCTTATATGAAATTTTTTTATAATTCGCATTTTCATTGTTGTTAGATGATAAAACATGATTAATATTTTATGTGTGACTTGTCTTTTTAATTTTTTTCATATTTTTTTCAAATAAGACGGACGGTCAAACGTTGGGCACAGAAACCAGAGTTTGTCTTTTTTTTGGATAGAGAGAGTACTTATTAACAAATAAAAAAATATTTTATATCTTTACGAGTAAACTTTTTTATACATACTCTTAGCAATTTAAAGCAAATGTTGTAAAATAAACTACGATAAAGTAAACCCATTAAATAAACTTGAAAATTAAGTTTTAAAATTTAAAGTTCCACTTATAAATATAAGCATAAGACAAAGGATGGATCATTAATGTTTTATTAACTCGAAACACTGTAACATGTTATGATTGGTCTCATCTGTATCCGATCACTTACTCACCGATGGCTGTTTGATACGCTGTCCTGCTGTATTAATCACCTATAAAATGAAACCTACCAACAGAAGTACTGGTTACAAATAACCCCAAAAAACATTTTCCCCCTAAAAGACAATAATAGATTTTTAAAAATACTAAAGATAGCGTTGCTCTCACCCGCAAATCCCAGGTTAGCTCGATTGATCGATGGCTTAGCACACAATTCCAGAATTTTCATGCTTCTCTGCATGCTTCTATTCGATAAATTCAATCGCTGTCGTTGCAGCATTTCCCTTTCTCCCTTCCCTGTCGATCAGAGCATCCGTCTGCCCATGCATCTCTTCTGCTTTCGTCGTGTGGCAATTGGCATTTGGCAATCGCCTTCTTCCGTCGTAGAACTTTTTGTAGCCAGCTTTCTTTTTTTCACAATTGAGTTGACGTCGCTGCAACTGTTGCGTTGTTGAATTTGTTTGTATACAGATCAATACGGATCGAGTAGACGAGTACTATACTTTGATTCAAAACATCATGTATATTAACATATGCATATGATGCGAACTACTCGCTCCGTCAAAAAAAAAAACTCAACCTCGTATCCTTATAGAATAATGAATCTGGAAAAAAGGAGGGTCACATTCGTTTCTAGGTTAAGTTTTTTTTTAAGGATAGAGGGAGTATGTGACTGAATTTTAATTTCCTACTGTGTAGGTCTGTCCATACGGCGCGATCGAACGGAATAGCGGAGCACGTGTTACCACGGAAAATACTCATAGAAGATATTGAGTGATTAGGGTCCCGTTCGTTTCTTGTATAAAAAATAGATGAAAATTTAGATACTCGTGACACGCTTTTCAAACGGCTAAACAGTGCGTTTCGTGTAAAAACTTTCCATATGAAAGTTGTTTTAAAATATCAGATTAATCCATTTTTCAAGTTTGTAATAATTAAAACTCAATTAATCACACGTTATTACCACCTTGTTTTGCGTGAATCACTTAATCTTTTTCTTCGGGTGTGTTCAGTTCACACTAAAATTGAAAGTTTGATTGAAATTAGAACGATGTGATGGAAAAGTTGAAAATTTGTGTGTGTAGGGAAGTTTTGATGTGATGGAAAAGTTAGAAGTTTAAAGAAAAAGTTGGGAATTAAACCAAGCCTTCATCTTAATATTTAGGAGATTCAAACACCACCTAGGTTGTCAAAATGCTTTTATGATGATATTGCTTTTTTTTTTTTCCCGTGACCTAATATTACATGGTAGTCAATGAAATCTCTTTGACTTGTCAAATCATTATCATCGATCATCTTCATATATATGACCAATCCAATCATGTGGTGGCTAATCCATCTGCTAACCAGTTGGTTGCTGGCAACGTGTTTGAAGGCAAATCGCATTGTGCGTAAGCTGACTCATGGAGGTCTGAAAGGGCGCTTTCTTAGGGAGTGTGTGTGAGTCAAGATGGTTGGACCATTTATCTTTTATCTCCCGTCACCACAGACAATCAACTGTCACATAAGAGCGAGTTAGAGAAGGTGTTTAGTACGGTGGCGATCATCAGAGATCCCATCAATTAGCTGTGCTTCTTTATCACCCATTTCCACTAAGGTAAAAGAAGGTATAATGCCTAATGAACCTTAATTTGTCTGGGGACAAATTCGAGAGATGATCTGAGTTGGCAGCATGGGAGAGATGGGACGGTGGTTCCTCGTACGATACCTGTGTTCGTCGCTTGTCATATCACCGATCATACCATGTACGTACTGTACTACTACTCCTGCAACGCAATTCTAGCCTACCAATTTATTTGGTAGTACTAAAATATTTTTTGCATTACCAATTTTTTGGTAAATGAAAGTTAACTAGTCCATGTTTGATTCGATGCTAATATAAAACTAAATTTTAGTAGTATAGTGAAAAAGTTTTTAGAATGTGACCAAATTAAGTGTGGGTACTATAAATTTTGTTTGGTTTCATTCCTAACTAACATTCTATTTAAAATTATGTTCTGATTGATGCCAAAATAACTTTTTCAAAATTTGGTAATGCTAAAATTTTAATAAATTACCAAGTTTTAATAGGATGTGCTCAATATAATGTTGTCAAAATTTTATAGATATCACCAAAATTTGGTAACAAACAAAATATAACCATATGATTATCAATTTTATTAAATAATGATATGGTTTAAAATGAAATCGATCTGAACAAGTCCTAAGCTATGAAAATTTTGGTGGGGCACATTTTGACTTCAATCAAAAATGGTCCAAACACTTCACCAACGCGGTGGCCCAATCGAATCGAGGCTACGTGAACGCGCCTACCCTAGGTGGCCCGGTCACGACGCACACGCCGCGGTGCCTCGCTTGCGTGGGCCGTCGTGTTGGTTGGGTCTCCGGCTCTCCACAGTGCCCACGGGCCTCTTCCAGCTCGGGCCGGTCGCACAAGCCACGGAAGTCCATGGGCCTAATGGAATCAGTGGGCCGAAAACCGAGACGAAGCACAACTCAAGCTTATCAACGTTTCAGAATTCAGATCGATATTACAAGTACCAGTACATTTTTTTTTTCTGAAAAGCCTTTTCTTTTGAAAAAGAGATTTTGTACTTTTTTTTTTCTGAAAAGCCTTTTCTTTTGAAAAAGAGATTCTGAAAAGTATGGCTCCCATCGGATGGCCTAATCAGCCAAAAAAAAGCCAAATTTTGAATTTTTAAGCTTAATTTTAAGATTGATTTTGAGATATTTTCAATGTAGTTTCTTTTTCAACATTGGTTTTTAAGTCACCAAGAACACATTTATAAAAGTTTCACCTACAAATTCATTTTTATTTCCTAATAAACCGTTTTGACTTATTAGAAAATAAGACAAACGATGGGGACCTATCACTTTCAGGTCGGCAATCACCATGCTGTGTTGTGACTTGCAAGTAGCAGGCAGCAACTAGGATCATCTACAATTCTCTTTACCTATAATATACAAGGGTGACGATCCAGTGATTCACAGGAAAATGGCACCCAAATGCAGGTTGACCACAACCAACCTGTACCAGTGGCACACTTGCAGATCGAGATAGGATCATAGCAGTAGTTGCTCATGAATGACCCGATCCGTAACATGGAGAGAGAGATAAATGAAATGCCCGGTGATTCAAGGCTCTACCTTAGCTGTATCATGCTTATTGCCAGCTCACAGTAGTTGGTTAGTACTGCTGACTTTCAGTTTAGCTAACAAGTACTACTCTTAGTACACCAGTACGGTTAAATTATTTGGAGATTAGCAAATATATTAAAAGCTACTGTTCTACTTCGGTTCATCCACAATTCAACCGCCAAGCCGTTGTCGTGGTCGTGTTGCATTGCCTGCAGGGTTTCCAGTGTTTACTTCAATTCCCTGACGTGCAGGACATGAATTCTCTCGATGTCTCTCTCGTTCATGAACCTTACATGACGATCAGTTACACTTCTACTATCTTTGTTTCAGTTTTACTACTAAATCGGTCACTGCATTTTTCAGAACATTTAGGCGGTCGTTTTCCATCAGCTTGACAGGTCGTATCTGTCGATCTGAATTTGGCCATGCAAGT